CTTTCTTTCCATAGAACTACTGAAAACGTTGAAAAAGCTGGACTCTTATACTTTTCTCCAAATCTAAGACTGGCAGGCAGTCTCTTCAAAAAGACATTCTTTAGCTACAACCACCGCTAACCTGTCATTCTCTGTTCCTTATTCTATATTGCTTTTCCTCATAGCATTTATCACTGAATATATATATACGTGTGTGTGTATATATATAGGAATATATACATATATATGTGTGTGTATATATATGTGTGTGTATATATATATATATTCCTCTCTTTTATTATTCAGACTATGATCTCCACTAGGAAAGAAAGGAACTTTCATTCCCTGCTATATCCCCAACATTTGGAAGCCATACCTAGCCTAGCCATAGTAGAGACTAAACAAATGTTGATTGAATAAATGAATAAATATAATGCTAGTAGTCAAAAAGAATACATAATGAAGCAGATTGAACTAATTCAGTATTTCTCATACTGAGATCTTGAATTATCTGAAGTCAGCTACAAGTACAATCACACTGGCCCGGCACAGTGGCTCATGTTTGTAATCCCAGCATTTTGGGAGGCTAAGGCAGGCAGATCATGAGGTCAGGAGTTTGAGACCAGCCTGGCCAACACAGTGAAACCCTGTTTCTACTAAAAATACAAAAATTAGCTGGGCATGGTGGCGGGCACCTGTAGTCCCAGCTACCCAGGAGGCTGAAGCAGGAGAATCACTTGAACCCAGGAGGCAGAGGTTGCAGTGAACCGAGATCGTGCCACTGCACTCCAGGCTGGGTGATAGGTGAGGCTCTAAAAACATTTCATCCTAGGCTGTGACAATTCCATAATAGTTCACTGCGTTCCTGGTACCTTATACTGCTGAATGACTTCTATGGGCTAAATTCAGTATTTTTGCAACTATTCCAGTTCTCTATAGTCTACTCACATAGCTTAACTTAACTAAGGATTTTCACACTGGGTACTTAAAATAAAAGCAGAAGGATATCCATATATTGGGCATGTGGACAAAGGAAGAAATAGAAATATCATGAATCGACCCATCCTACAAATTCCACTCTGGGTCTCATAATAGGAGATCCTTATGACTGTAGACACATTTTCCTTCCTGGATTGTGGATTGGCTTCTTGGCCTTCCATCTTTTCCATTATCAGTTAGAGACATAGGATATCATACTAATGAATAGATACAATGGCAACAACAGCAATCTCATGCTACACACACACACACACACACACACACACATACACTCTGCTCCTTTAGAACAAAACTAGCTTCTCTCTACCTCAGAGCCCATTTATCCCAAGGCCCAACAAAGAGGATAGGGTTTTTACTACCTTCAACTGACTCAACTGCTCTATCTGGCTGAAGGAAGTTCAATAAATCATATTATTTCTGTGTGCAGCTCACTACCATTTGATTGATCATTTTGAGCCAAATTATCTTCACTGTCTAAATTCACAATATTATTATTGACTTTATTCCCTTATACTTTTTTCTTAAACAGGGAGGAAAAGTCTGCCTATAAAGAAAAATGTTCACATGAAATAAGCCAGGCATAGAAAGACAAACATCATATATTTTCACTTTTTTGTGGGATCTAAAAATCAAAACAATTGAACTCATGGACATAGAGAATAGAAGGATGGTTACTAGAGGCTGGGAAGGGTAGTAGGGAGCCAGGGAGGGTGTGGGATGGTTAATGGGTACAAAAAAAAATAAAAGAAAGAATAAATAAGACCTACTACTGATAGCACAATAGGCTGACTATAGTCAATAATAACTTAATTGTATATTTTTAAATAACTTAAAGAATATAATTGGATTGTTTGTAATTCAAAGGAAAAGTGCTTGAGGGCATGGATACCCCATTGTTCATGATGTGCTTATTTCATATGGCAGGCCTGTATCAAAACATCTCATGTACCCCATAAATATATACACCTAGTATGTACTCACAAAAAAGTTTTAAATAATTTTTTAAAATTCTTTTAAATGTTTATTCATACACTGAAATCCATTACATCTTTTCTTAAACCCAACACCTAAGAATAGATTACCACATGATATGGTTTGGCTGTGTCCCCACCCACATTTCTTCTTGAATTGTAACTCCCACAATTCCCACGTGTGATGGGAGGAACCCAGTGGGAGGTGATTGAATCATGGGGGCAGGTCTTTCCTGCACTGCTCTTGTGATAGTGAATGAATCTCATGAGATCTGATGGTTTTAAAAATGGGAATTTCCCTGCACAGACTCTCTCTTCTCTTGTCTGCCACCATGTGAGATGTGCCTTTCACGTTCTACCATGGTTGTGAGGCCTCCCCAGCCATGTGGAACTGTAAGTCCATTAAATCTCTTTCCTTTGTAAATAGCCCATTCTTGGGTATGTCCTTATCAGCAGCATGAAAATGGACTAATACAGTAAATTGGTGCCAGTAGAGTCAGGTGCTGCTGAAAAGATACCTGGAAATGTGGAAGTGTCTGGGTAACAGGCAGAGATTGGAATGGTTTGGAGGGCTCAGAAGAAGACAGGAAAATGTGGGAAAGTTTGGAACTTCCTACAGACTTGTTGAATGGCTTTACCCAAAATGCTGATAATGATATGAACAATGGAATCTAGGCTGAGGTAGACTCAGATGGAGATGAGAAACTTGTTGGGAACGGGGGCAAAAGTAAATCTTGTTATGTTTTAGCAAAGAGATTAGTGGCATTTTTCCCCTGCCCTGGAGATTTGTGGAACTTTGAACTTGAGAGAGATAATTTAAGATATCTGGTGGAATAAATTTCTAAGCAACAAAGCATTCAAGAGGTGACTTGGGTGATGTTAAAGACATTCAGTTTTAAAAGGGAAACAGAGCATAAAAGCTTGGAAAATTTGCTGCCTGAGAATGTGATAGAAAAGAAAGTCCCATTTTCTGAGGAGAAATTCAAGTTGGCTGCAGAAATTTGCATAAGCAATGAGAAGCCAAATGTTAATCATCAATACCATGGGGCAAAAGTCTCCAGGGCATGTCAGAGAACTTTGCAGCAGTGGGGAAAATATCTCCAGGGCATGTCATAGACCTTTGCAGCAGCCCCTCCCATCACAGGCCTCAAAGTTTAGAAGGAAAAAATGGTTTCTTGGGCCAGACCTAGGGTTCCTCGGCTGTGTGCACTACAGGGACTTGGTGTCCTGCATCTCAGCCACTCCAGCCATGACTAAAAAGGCCCAAGGTATAGCTCTGGCTGTTGCTTCAGAGGATGGAAGTCCTAAGCCTTGGTAGCTTCCACATAGTGTTGAGCCTGCAGGTGCATAAAAGTTAAGAATTGAGGGTTGGGAACCTCCACCTAGATTTCAGAGGATGTATGAAAACACCTGGATACCCAGGCAGAAGTTTGCTGCAGGGGTGGGCCCCTCATGGAGAATCTGCTAAGGCAGTGCAGAAGGGAAATGTGGGATTGGAGCTCCCACCCAGAGTCCCTACTGAGTCACCACCTAGTGGAGTTGTGAGAAGAGAGCTACCATCCTCCAGACCCCAAAATGGTAGATCCAGCAACAGCTTGCACCATGGGCCTGGAAAAGCCACAGACACACAACACTAGCCTGTGAAAGCAGCCAGGAGGGAGGCTATATCCTCCAAAACCACAGGGGCGGAGCTGCCCAAGACCGTGGGAACCCATCTCTTGCATCAGCCTGACCTGCATGTGATACCTGGAATCAAGGAGATCATTTTGGAGTTTTAAGATTTTATCATCATGCTAGATTTTTGACTTGCATGGGGCCTGAAGCCCCTTTGTTTTGGCGAGTTTCTCCCATTTGGAATGACTGTATCTACCCAATGCATATACCCCCATTGTATGTAGGAAGTAAATAACTTCCTTCATATTTTACAGGCTCATAGGCCGAAGGGAATGGCCTTGACTTAGATGAGACATTGGACTGTGGACTTTTTTAGTTAATGCTGAAATGAGTTAAGAGGTTGGGGGGAAGGCATGATTGGTTTTGAAATGTGAAGACATAAGATTTGGGAGGGGCCAGGGGCAGAATGATATGATTTGGCTGTGTCCCCACCCAAATCTTATTTTGAATTGTAACTCCTACAATTCCCACATGTGTGGGAGGAACACAGTGGGGGGGGGTGATTGAATTATGGGGGCAGGTCTTTCCTGTGCTGTTCTTGTGATAATGAATGAATCTCATGAGATCTGATGGTTTTAAAAACAGGACTTTCCCTGCACAAGCTCCCTCTTCTCTTGTCTGCTGCCGTGTGAGACATCGCTTTCACCTTCCACCATGATTGTGAGGCCTCTCCAGCCATGTGGAACTGTAAATCCGATAAACCTCTTTCTAGAATAACTTGCCCAGTCTCCAGTATGCTTTTATCAGCATTGTAAAAATGGACTAATACACCATAATAAAACGTTTCAAAAATATTGTCTATTGTCTATTGTATAGTAAGCAGCAATGCATATATGCTGACATCAATAGAATATGTGCCTTAGAAGTCAATACCTATTCATTTTATGAGCAACAACTTAGTTTCAACAAAAGAACATCTTCTGTGGGTGCAGAGGGCTGCAGGGGACGTGGGCAGGTGTTAGGCAGGAATCTAGACCCAACATGGCGGTATCACCCGGCATGGCAGGCCTTTTGTTAGGTCTTCTCGCAGGCCCTTTGTTAGGACTTGCCGCCCTTCACTTCCTGCTAAGACTCTCAGCGCTGAAAAAAGCCGGCGCCCACCAAAGAACCCCGGCTGTGTGCAAGCTCCTGGACACGTCATTCCCCAGAAATCGAAACCTAACTCAGGAAAACCAAGACCTAAAACCCCGCCTACCTCGCCCTATAAAAGGCCCCCATACCCGCCCCCAATGCTGGGCCCCGAGCGCGACTTCCTCGGCCCTCCCCCTAGAGGACCCGTGACCCTCGCCCGCCCAGGAGCCCAATAAAGGCTACCTTTGTTCTCATCTGCCTCGTGTCTTCTTACTCGGCTCCCCATTTACATTACAGCAGGGAGCCATGGGGGTCCTGCGAGGAGGGCGCCCCTTTCCCATCCCTGGTCCCAGCGAGAGGCGTGCCTGCCCCGCCCCACCCTCCAGCAGTCCTGGTAGGGCCCAGGCCCATCCGTGCTCTGCAGTGGGAGGTCCTCGTCGCCCCTCGTTTCCAGCAAGAGAATGGTGGCCCTTGGCCTCCCGGTGCAGAACGTCAGTCCTGCGCTGGGAGCATGAAGAGTTGTGTGGGAAGCAAGCCATTCTTGAAGTGGGGCCAACAGAGAGAAGTCAGCAGTTCCTCAGCCCTCAGGCTTCCAAGGGACAGAGAACAGAGGAGAAGCCTGCAGGCAGAAAAAAGAAGACGCCGACCTCGAGGGAGAAAACCGATGTGCAGAAGAGCATGCTCAGAGAGAAAGCATCCGGGGACAGAAAGCCACTTGAGATGCCCACTGTGCCCAGGAAGCCCCGCACAGAGCCCCGCCTGAGTCCTGAAGAAGAAAAGCACATCTTTGATGCCTTCCACGCTTCATTTAAAAATGCCTTTGAGGGGGTTCCCGTGTTCATTCCTTTTCAGAGGAAGAAACCTGATGAGTGCAGTGAATGCAGGCAGATCTTTAAGCACAAGAAAGACCACATTTGCCGTCAGAGGGTCCACACCAGAAAGAAGCCCTTCAAGTGTGAGCAGTGTGGGAAGGCCTTTCGGCACAGCTCCAGCGTCACCAAACACCAGAGGACTCACACTGTTGGCCTTCATCAGACGTGTTGCCTGGCGGGTGTTCTGCTCTTGGGACCACACTGGAGGGGCCACCCCAGGTGCAAGTGGGCAGGTGAACCACCAGAGGGGAGCCGTGGCACTTATGGCCTCCTGACGGTCCTGCCACCACAGTCACTGCTGGAAGCATGGCCTTCGTGGCTTCTCAGTGGACCTTGGTCCCGATGAGGGGTAGGTGGCATATCTGTGGTGTCGTGTACCTGCCTCTGTGACGACTGCATCTCGCACTGCTGGGCGTGTGCTGGGGAGGCCAACCTCCCTGTGGGGCTCCCCAGGGCTTTTTCAGCTCACTGCTGTCAGCATGAGGGTGAGGGAGCAAGCGGGAGTGGCCTCGGCTTCACCTGGATAGACTGTCCCTGGATGCCGCCGGCGGACAACAGCCGGCGTTGCCCCCCACAGGGCAGAACATCTTGGTGGGCCCCTTGTCCCAGATCTCCTTAGGCATCTGTTCCCAGTGTGATCTGAGGCCGGATGGCCTCAGCCAACTGTCACCAGGAGAGGAAGGCTCACTCTCCCAAAAACGGACATCTCAGGAGGTGAAATTGTTCACAAGCAGGCATCAAAGCACATGTGATATGTGATCCTGAATCAGAAGAGTTGTTGTGAAGGACCTTGCTGAGACATTTGGCAGACCTGGAGTGTAGACCAGGCACAGTCGGTTCCAGCTCAACAGTGACAGGGCAGTCCTCACTGACGTCCTGCTACTACAGATGCACACTGAGGCTCTCGGCTGCGGAGCGTGACTGCAGTTCACGCCAACAGTGTGTGCATGTCACTGGAGAGTGACAGAGGAGACTGGCTAAATGTCAGTCACTGGGGAATCTAGAACACAGGGCTGATAGGATGGACCACCAGATGCAGAAAGATATCTCACCAAATGCCAGCCCTAGGTCATGCCCACAGAGACACCAGCAGCAGCGCATGGCTGGCACAACCATCTCGGCCTCTCTAGCAGCAGGCAGGCTGGTAGAGCAGATCACCCCCAAAGAAGGAAGTTCCAGATGAAATATGAATAGCCCATTTTTCACTTCATGAAACATTGTTCCCTTTGTACCTGAAAGAAAATTGAAATACTGCTTCTCCCTATTATCTACACCTCCCTCAGAGACCATCCTATAAGCCAAACAGCAAAACAGGCAGCTGACCCCTAGACAAAAGCACTGATTTTTAAGGCAGCAGAATGTTACTGAACTATCCACATACTCCTAACCCTACCCCACCTCCACCCTCAGACACCATATTCTTACATGCAGGGAGTTTGAACTCCCAGAAAACATCCAGACATAAAAAATGACTCACTGCTCTAAAGTAATTATGTTTCCATAAAAAAAAAAAAGGAAAAAAATAACTTCTGCAAGTGAATGAGGCAGGAAGTGCCCTGGTAACTGTGCAAGGGAAAGGCTGCAGTCTTTGCATAATCTGTTTCCTCAAAGTGTCAGAGAAATACACACAGAGATAGGAAACGATCACAGTTACATGCAACAGAGCTGCCCTAGATAAGCACCTGATAGACAGTGAGAACTGAGCTACGTACGTCAACTTACCTTCATGCTATAAATATGAGGAAAGGCTTTGACTGACACCTAGATCCAAGGAGCACATCCAGTGGTAGAAACTAAAAGAAAAACAACATACAATCTATTTTTTTTAACTTCACACACAAAAAAAAAATTATCTTAAAGATTAAAGGGAAGAAGAGTCCTCTGAAAACAATTTGCTACAGAAACCAAAATAACATTCTAGAAAACTTTTGACAATAAGATACAGGACCTGAAAGTCACAAGGTCAGAATATGCTGAGACGAAGTGGAAAACAAATGAGATTAAAGGAAAAAAAAAAATGAAAAAACTAAAATGAAAATGGACATATAAGATAAGAAAGCTAACAAGGCAATAAGGGTTTACTGTACATCAGAGTAGAATTTACACTGGAGAAAAATGCATTCATAATTCGAAATACAAAGTTGAAAAGTTATTTCATAAGTCAAAGGACAGGAATAAATAGTTGGAAACAATGCAGGCACACTAGATATAGAGGAGGAAGAATAAAATTCCAAACTAAGAACTATAGATAGACTTGAAAAGGAAATCAAAACAGTTGGCATAGGTGCAATAAATCAAGGAAAAATCTATTTAGCTGAAATGTATACATATCTAAAGATCTCATCATGCTCCAAATAAAGTTAATAAATAGACACATCCAGACAAATTTTTAACTTATAATAAAGAAAACATCCAACAAGCATTTAGGCCACGACACTAGTTAACCACAAATAAATATACCATAATATATACAAATAAATAAATATGCACTGTTAGGTAATAGAGAAGTTGCCACAGCATGTTAAGAGAGGAAAAACCATTTTCTACTACTCAGTCAAGTTGTCATTCATGTGTGAGGAAAATAGAAAGACATTCTCAGAAATGCCAGTTCTCATATAATATAACACTTGGGGATCTAAAATTACTTAAAAGCACAGTCCAGTCTGAAAAAAGGTGGATTAAAATTAAAAGCACAAGAATGTAAACAGGAGGTTAAAAGAACTAGTACATGGTCTAATAAACTCCACATCTATAAAGTGAAGTTAGTTCTTTCATGCAGCTTCTGGTATGACAAGCTCCCAGTAGATGGATCCTTTGTTCCCAAACAGATTTCATCTTAGACATTCATTGACATAATGCTCTCCTGATAATAATGGTCCATGGTCTCTTATCCACAATATCAAAATCCAAGAAACTTTGAGAACAGAGAACTCTGAGATCAGAGAACTGACATGAGGCTATTTATAGTTTTTTTAATCTTCTGAATGTTAATATTTATCATTTTGCTGCATAAATATTAGCAAATTGGATTGCAGCTTATTGCCACATACTCTTCTGTGGCTATCATACAACGTGCAATATTTTCCTTTCTAAAAAAAAAAAAAAACTTGTAATTCTGGAGCACATTCAAGAGTTCCAAATAAGAGATCATGGAACTCCAGTAGATAAACTCACCCAAATGGCTCACTTTCTTATAGCAACCCTAGCCAGTTTATACATCAATTATGTACACCATCTCTCACACCTCTCTGGACACTCAAAACAACTGATTTCTTTCTACGGTGTGCAAGGGACTCTCAATTTTAGAAGACATTGGGGGAGGGGGACTCATCCCTGACTCTCTCCTGAATACCTATACTATCTGCCATGCTGAAAGCTGGAGGAACACTTCTTGGGCTCCTTGAAAAATGATGAAACATTCCATTCCCACGGCTCATCTCAAACTGTCTCCCTTCATGCACATGTATCCCATATTTAATCAATTTCTATTCTATCCAACCCATTGGAAGCCTGTCTTTGACCTTGGGCCTTAGCCATCTGACCCTAGGAAAACATCAGGTCTAATATAAAAGGTTGTACATTCCTGACACAGCTGTGGGTGACTCCAAGTATCTGAACAATCAGAGTGGCATTTACTGGAGGATGACACCCAAATTTTGAACACTCTGTGGTACATTAATGCTTTCCTAAGCTTTGCTTCAAGGATGGGAAGGAACAGATTATGCTTCCCTCTGTTTCTCCAGCTCATTTACAGATGAGCCATTAAACATTCCCTACTTGCCCTCTTGGAGATCCTTCTAGTCTCTAACTCCAGATCTGTTGGCTCTGATTCACTTATTCTCTATCATGACTATTCACTTCAGATTCCCCTTTGGTTATTTATCCAATCTTTTTTCTGTATGCTTTGGATGTTTTAAAACTTCTCTTCACTCAGAATACAAAATTTTGTTTGCCTATGCTCAGGGCTTTGCAGCCATAGCCGAGCCCTGTTGTATTTGCTAGAATTAAAACATGTAATCAAAAATAAAATAAAATGAAATTATGATTAAATAAAGTAACCATTGATCTATTTCAGCTAATGGAAAGTCCAAAGATATCCCATCCAAGACTTAATGGCTCACCTGTGGTGAAGAGGAAACCAAGCATCTTTGATCTTTATGTTCTACTATCAGAACATATGGCTTCCATGCTTAAGCTCATCTCACAGACAAAGATGGCGCTAGAACAATAGATTTCATTTACATCTCCCACACAGCAGGAAGGAAAAGGAGCAGAAAGGCAAAGAAGACACACTGCTCAGCTGAAGCAGCTTCTAGACTTTCCTAAAGTGTCACTCAAAGCTTAATGCTTAATGTCATTGTCCCAACTCACGAATGTGTATTCACCTAGCCATAAGGAAGGTTAGCTTGAATTTGGCCAGCTGCCAAATACATACATACACAAATACATAGGGTTTTGTTTGTTGAAAAAAGAAGAAATTAGGCTGGGCAATTAGCAATCCACCAGCAGTTTCTGCCATAGTCACCTACTATGATGCCTTAGTCCCAGCATTAGGAGATCAGATGTTAATCAGCAATAATAAAACATGCACTCTCAATTCATTGCTCATCCAGATTTATACAAAGTAGTGAGAATGTCAAGATTACTGAAGTCACAATTTTCTATTAATAAATAAAAGGCAAGAGATGTGTTTCAATGGGTTGGAAAAAGCAGGCATATCCTTTTTAAAATTTTAATGTGGAGTTTGTAGGTGAAAGCTCTATTGACAATGTCCAGGAAAGCTGAAAATGGTACTGGCCATACTCACTTCCAGTTTTACTCTCCATCTTCTCCATTATAGAAATTCTAGCCATGTCAGTGATACCACAGACTTATCCCTTCCTTTCAACTTGGCAGCATAGGCCAGGGTTACTGACATGTTTGCCTTTTCCAACACAGCTATCATCCTTGTGTTTTCTACAGTGGGGCTCTCTGTGATGTCAGATGAGTTTTCCAGTCATGGTACCTCTTAAAAGTTTTAAGACATTTATAAGTAAATTAAAAACACTCAAGAAACCTCACAGAACATAATCTCAGAATCCTCAAAATATTTTGTGGCAACTAGAAAAGAGGAGGATGAGGTCTGGGAAATCTCTTCACCCAATTCATGTGATCAGGTTTTCTAATTATCCAGAAGAACCAATACATATAGGCAAGCAGCTTAAAAACATGTTATTCTGAAATGCTATGTGTATTTTTAAGTGTTTTATTCCATCATGTTTTATTCCATCATGTTTTATTCCAAAACCATAAATTAATTATATGCAGATTAAGAGGCAGACACAAAATCCACTATTAAAAATATTTCATTTATATTATAAAAATAATTTAATCTATTTTCTGTCTCTATAGATTTGCCTACTCTGGACATTTCATATAAATGGAATCACACACTAGATGGTCTTCTGTGACTGGATTCTTTATTTAGCATAATGTTTT